GCTTGCATTATACCTTCGAAACCAGTTGTTGGCTTGAACGTTTGGCCAAATATCGTTTTCAAGTCTTCCACCAACTCCTGAATATACTTTGATCACTGAATGGGTCGAATCATCACCCTTTATTACTGGCATTATAAATGCAACTTCAACTTGAAGGTGATCCGTACTTCCAAAAATAGAACTGTTTTTCCCTTAGAAATATTTTTTCGGCCTCTTTCGGCTGTGCCCAAATAAGCTGATAACGAGATATTCTGTAATGCTAATGTAACGATAGCGAATGGACGGTTAATGGCANCTTGGCCATCGCAGAAATTATTTTCGAACCACCCGATGCACCAACAACCATTTTCAACTGAACGCATTTGCATCAAAATGATTGATATATGTCCAAAGACGTTTGGCACAAACATAATGCCCGTCAGTGAAAACTGAGTGGGCAACAGTTGCTGAACGCCATTTGTCGCGACGGAACGCGAAAGAGACGATTCGTGAGGGACACCAAAGTGATATGGGAAATAAACCTTTGAATCTGTACTTTAGCTGTATATGTATAACATGCACACGGACATAATGCACTATTGATTCGGATGATGAAATGTAACTTTCGTATATCTTACTTGGAGGATCTCCTCCCTTTTGTGTTTGTATGATATGAATACTTTGTATTTCGATGATATAAAACAGTGTCATTACAAAATAAACGCCGAAACCATTTGATAGCTATTGTTCATGCATTCAGGGACTGGCGAACTTGACGAAGTCACGAAGATTTAGAAAGAAAAACTAACATCTCCAGTTTTTTTATCGTAGATAAGCATCGGACTCATGCTGCTCATTGGTTTCTTGCCGGGCACGATGAAGTTTGTCTCTGAAGGCGCAAAACCGAATCCATTCGCCATACCTAAGGATGAATATCACTGATCAAGAATTCATAGTGAATTTGCAATATACTTGCTTTATTCATGGCACATTTTGATTGGTTGCGATTTGCTCTGCTCAGTCATTATTACCTGGTGATGAGAAGTCGTCCATTTCGTCATTCCAAACGATTCCAAGTTTATCCGATTGAACTACAGCACCGAACCTAAATCAAGTGTTTAGTTGCAGCTGAAGACGACTTCGATTTTTCTGGTGAAAACAGTCAGTTCTTTGGATGGTCTCATTTCACTTCTCATGAATTGCGCACCGATAAAATTTTCATTCGAAGAGGACAGACACCGTTGTGTGAATTTAGTTGATGTCAACGGTTTGAGTGAACGGTTTCGCGAAATCAAATGAATGTTTTTACCATCGATTCACAGTGCTTGTTGCCGAAACTCCATTTCCTTCGGCGTCCAGTGCGCATACATGCGAAGTCCCATGATCACTTTTCTACAACCAAGCAGACTGTTACATCTTGGAAATCTCACATTATTCACAACTGAATCAGTCACTTATTGTTATGCTCTTGCCTATATCTCACGGTAAACATTCACGTTTAAGTGTTACGCTTTGCTTCGTATTGTTTCTCAATTCCTTCATATTTTTCAATGCCATTCATTTTCCATCAGCAGAAATTTGCTGATTGTGAGAATTTTGAGGGAAGATGACGAGCTGGAAATTTCACGTTGATTCACCTGAGCTTGCGTTGTGCCTCCGTAATATTCAGATGGTTGTGCTCTATTTTTCATCCTCTCAAATACCCAATCGGTGTAGCCTTTTGTTGTCATATTTTCAGCCAATGCTTTGGCTGATTTAACGAAATTCACATCACCTGAAATCAAACACATCAGCTCTCCTGAGAGCTCTCATTGATCTTTGTCGCTCGTTTCGAGCAGTATTTCCGAGTTGAATTTCGTGCTATCACGATATCACGAATCTGTCAAATCACCGCCACCTAACAAATGCATTTCCTTACCTAGGAGAGTGCGTTGAGCATACGCAAACTTCTGTGCTTCAATAAGACGATGATAGAAAAGCGGATTCTTATAGAGAAGTTCCTTGTCGGACTTGGGACTGTAAAATCCTGCAATTAGAACCGTTATGAGTTCGCTGTTGTTATGCACACCAAAATTCTTTCTTGTATCTGATTGCAGCTACTGAACATTGTAAGCTCTCATCATTGTGATTTTTCTTTATAATATTATGTTTTCAAATTGGAGTGGTAATACTTGGAAAATTCTACTCGAACCTCATAAGGCTGAAATAGTCGTAGCGTGACTGGACTTCCACCATACTCATAGTCTAAAAACCCCGTTGTTGCTTAACAGCAGGGAATTTCAATAAACTGATCTATATTGCAGCCTAAGTGAAAGCACTCTACGAATGCATTTCACATTTGCTCTCCTAATAAAGAAGATGTTCACATACTGGCAAGAACGGATATGATGAGTTGAGTGACTGTAAATGAAGAGGGTGGCGGAGGGCCGCACATCGCTAAATCCTCTGCGAAATGATCGTTCACTAGCGGTTTTTCGATCAATTCTGGTTTGAAGTTGGCCAAATCTTCTTTCGTTAAGATTCCACCTGAAATGATAGTCTGTTATTTTGTTCTTGAACTGATTCCCTTGACTGGAGACTGAATCACTGTTTGCCTCACATGCTCCCTAAAGTTCAAATCTTTCATGAAATAATCAATTTGCGACAGAGCTTTCGCCGCTTGCGAAGATCGAATGAGCACCAAAATAGATGACACATTCTATTTTTTTAAGTCTGGAAACCTTTTTTGGCTAAGTATTCTTGATAGTTCACCAAATCAGTGAATTCTGTCAGGTGAAATATAAGTGTATTATGAATCGCACGTGTTATTTAGTGATCAGCCCATGCAGTCAAATAGTTATTCTGAATCTCCTTAACTATTAAACTTAACAAGTATTATATTAGAAAATTTCCCGGAATCACAGTTTTCAGCGCGCATCATAAGTGTTCCATTAATTCTCTACCGTTTGCTTGTATTTCTTCAATGATCGTGTCTGCCAT